CAGAGAATAATATAAATTTTATGTATTTAAGTTTGCTTAGAAACTTTGAAAAAACAAGAAAGTATAGTTAGGGTTCTGTTGTTTTAGCCTATCTATACAGTTCTTTGTGTAAAAATGCAACAAACGACAAATATACTTTTTATGGATGCGCTTTCTTACTCCAAGCATGGGATTGGTGGAGAATGGAGTCCCTAAACCCCGTCAACAACAATGCATTCATTTTCCCATACGCAACAAAGTGAGTCAAGAACTTAAATAATTTATTATTCATCCTTTCGCCAAATAATGTATAAAATTAACTATTTTTTCATTCTTTTAGGTATTGTGTAATGAGTATGGATTACGGCAAGAATCCAAGATTCAATGTCACTCTATATTGTAATCTATTGGATCACCTTGGCCCGGATGATGTACGTGGTACCTTTGAACTTTTCTACTTTTAAATTACTTATTTTTACATTTTCATTATTCTTATTAATTTTTATCCATAGTTTATCTGGAGACCACATTTGGGTTTGGACCATGAACCCATCCCCGAGGATGCAACAATTTGGACTGCAAAGACTTCAATTATACGACTTAATGTTGTGGAGATGCACCACAATGATTGTGTCAAGATACAATTCAGAATACATCAAGAGATACCATGTGATCCAACTTGTTTGTCACTCTAACATCTCAAAAGGGTCGACGCCCGACGGGGTCTTACTAATTAGAAATATTTTGCTCCAGAATGGTGTAAGGTGTGGCATAAGCGTCACCAACATGTCTTACAATTCCCTATTTTCTTCAACCAGGATAATATGCGACACGGATCAATATTTTGATTGGTATATATCGGTTACCAACTCAGAAATGCATGTGTCTCACCCGAGGTATTTGATCCACCCACGAACACAATAGGCACAACCCTTAAATCCCCAACAACAAACCCAACGCACATCAATCTTCCACCAAACACCACGATGATACAGATCCACAAACACCCGACCACAATCACCACCTCAATACCAATATACCCATATGCCCCACACCCAACCCCAATCCCAATCTCAATACCAATACACCCACATGCCCCACACATAATTCCAGTATTCTGAACATCCCAATATGGGCCCCTCATCATCTCACCTTAGCCCCATATCTAGGCTTTCCTGAAGAATACGACCCAACCGACCCAACTTACCATCAACCACCACATCATCATAGCACCCAACAATTGCAATACCAAACACTCCAAGATTCATTTCCTTTTTACCCCCTTACTCAGATGACCAGTGCTATCGACCATCCATGGAACCCCACCCCCCACCAAGACGATCAAACTTTAAGAGCATGGGTAACCGACTGTACCAAAGTGGATCTTCCAGATATGATGATATAACAGATTTCATTGATCCTGTACGCATTGACTTCGCTGGGCCACCAATCCAACCCTAACAGGAAAATTGACGAAACCCACCACGAGTTAGGCGAGAACGCGGGTGCAGAACCACAAGTCGTTACCGAGTTCCAAGGGACAACTAAATAATATGCAACCATTTTTTTCATTATGTAATCGTTCATTTGTTATTGAAAAATCGAACTGTCATTAAGCTATATCGTTTAATTATTGTCTCTTATTTAAAATAGAAAGAAAAAAAATTGATAGTTAAAAGCACTTAGGCACCATCTGAGATGGATTAGGACAAGCATGTTGCACCTATGCGTCATCTCACTTAACGTTTCCATATAAAAATAAAGAGAATGCACCATCTGAGTTGACTCCTCTATTTAAGTGTTTTATAAAACATAATTATTTACATAATTTTCTCTGAAATATAATTAGTTATGTATTTTTTTTCAATATCTTATTATTGCTAAAAAATTTCTAAAATGACAATCAGGACTATAGGTTAGTCTTTGCATAACGAGATTTAGCTAGTTGTAAGACCTCATTTTGATAATAATTAACTTTTATATATTAAAATTAGAAGTTAGGGATAAGACGTTAACTTTTATATATTAAAAGTAGAAGATAGGGATAAAACGTCATTTTGGTATGTAGATTAGAAAAATACAGGTAATGAAAATTGCATCACTGATTTGTGGGACCACAGCATAGTTTATAAAAAATACAAATGGATCATACGATATGATTAACATTTATCCCATAAACCAAAAAAAAAAAAAAAAGGTGAAAATGGAATTAAGGGAGCTTGGAAGAACAGGACTGAAACTAAGCTCAGTGGGCTTCGGAGCCTCCCCTCTCGGCAACGTCTACGGTTCCGTTTCCGAACAAGATGCCTACGCCTCTGTACGTCTCGCCTTTCAATCCGGCATCAACTTCTTCGACACTTCTCCGTAAGCAAAACTCTCTTTCCCTTTTTTTTCTTTCTTTCTTTTCATCTTCTTCTTCTTCTTCCATTTTAACAAATTTTCAAAATTTGAAGCTACTACGGGTCAACACTGTCAGAAGAAGTGCTGGGTAAAGCTTTAAAAGCCCTAAATGTTCCGAGAAGTGAATACATTGTAGCGACCAAGTGTGGACGCTACGGAGACGGGTTTGATTTTAGTGCAGAGAGAGTGACGAAAAGTATTGAAGAGAGCTTAGAAAGATTGCAGCTTGATTATGTTGATATTCTTCAATGCCACGACATCGAATTTGGATCGTTAGATCAGGTCATGGATAGAACCTTATGGCAAAAGTAGATCCATTGTTGTTGTTGTTGTTGTTGTTGTTGTTGTTGTTGTTGTTGTTGTTGTTGTTGTAGTGTAATCAAATTTGGTAACTGTTTCGAGGAGTGCTAACTGTTTGTTTTTTTTGTTCAGATTGTTAATGAGACAATTCCTGCACTTCAGAAACTGAAGGAATCGGGGAAGACTCGTTTCATTGGGATTACGGGACTTCCGTTGGGGATATTTACTTATGTTCTCGATAGGGTTCCACCTGGAACATTGGATGTTATACTTTCCTATTGTCATCATTCTGTCAATGATTCGACTTTGGAGGATCTAGTGCCTTATCTCAAGTCCAAAGGTGTTGGTATCATTAGTGCTTCCCCGATGGCGATGGGTCTTTTCACTGAGGCTGGACCTCCCGAATGGCATCCTGCTTCACCAGAACTTAAGGTTTTATCTTATTATTTACCAGTCTTGAGTTTGATTGTGAAAACCCAATCTTGCTTGTGTGTGCGCATTAGGTAGCAAACATTAAATAAAAACCTTAATTTATTTGTTATGATCATACTCAGTGTTCCCTAAGCAAGCCGGTAGTTTGATTGTGAAAACCAATCATGCCTGTGTGTGTGTGTGTTTGAGTCAGAGTGGGTGAACAAGAAATACGCACCAATATCATCTTTTGCAAACAAATAATCGTAATTTGTTACTAAATTTCTCTGGCACTCGTATTTTCTTAGACAAAAGGATAATGTTACTTGGTGTATAAGATCTGAGTTCTGAGATATTGTATATATGTAAATAAAAAGAAAGATAATTAGTTCTCTTCTCCCAGAGACAGACAACAAAAAAAGAAAATTGAGCATTGGAATTTGAAACTGAATTCACATATAGCGAAGAAACTGAAATTACTTTGTGTATATAATCTGAGAGTAGTTTAATAGAAGAGAGAAAGTCATGAAAGAAAATATAAAATTTTAATTTGAGACTGTTCACATAGTCAGAAAAGAAGACTCAAATTAATTAGCCAGCCAACTGATTTTTCCTCCATATGACATTGAATGAATGTTCATGGCCTTCAATATTTTAGGCAGATAAGCAAATTGCTCACTAGTACTAATGATGTTCCTGGACATTTTGAATGTCTCTCTCACATGAATATCTGTTTTTCTGTTTATAGTCTCGCATATCACATATTTCTTCAAAAACTAAACTGGTTCTATGTATTTTATTTGGAATTTGCAGTCTGCTTGTAAAGCTGCTGCTACCTATTGCAAAGAAAAGGGAAAAAACATTTCAAAGTTAGCACTGCAGTACAGCTTGTTAAATAAAGAAATCTCATCAGTGCTTGTTGGCATGAGATCTATTGAACAGGTTCTGTTTTATCTTAATAAACTGTCATATTCTGTTTCATGTTCGTAAATTGTCATATTTAATTGCATACATCTATTTTATGGAAGTCTGCTATTTGGTGGGTAATGCATTAAGCCTTGCTCCAAAGCTTTTGTCATTGTATAGCTTGGTCTATCAGATAAGATGTTACCTCTCTCTTTGATAGTTTCAATAAAGCATATATGGGGACTTTCCTCGGTAAAATATGTACATATTTTTTCTTCCATCTTTTTCATACTCACTAATCACGTGTTAAAAAATCTATGCTAGTGCAATATTTGTGACAGCATTTTATTTATATGATTAAAATAATTACCGACTAGATTTCTAGGCTTTAATTGATTGTAATGTTGTGAAGTGTATCTGTAAGAAGCACCCTTTTTATTGAATTATATATATGTCTGTGTTCATGTTATATCACATTATCTTTTGTGTATCAATGGAATTTATAGAAAATGTTGTAAGAGTTGATGTTGCTGAGCTATGTTGGTTGAGGTGTTATAAACATTTTGTATTATTCCTACTCTAGAATTATGAACCTATACTGTGTTCCAGCTTTTTCTTTCATAGTTTCAACTTTCATGAGAAAAATATTCTTTATTGATGAAAAGTCCGATTTAGATTTGAAGAACAATTTGTGTAATGTAGACCAGTCACTTGATAAGGACCTGTTCTAAATTTGATAAAATATAGGTGGAGGAAAATGTTGCTACTGCAAGAGAACTCGCAGCTTCTGGAATAGATGAAGAGGCTCTGTCAGAAGTTGGAGCCATTCTAAAGCCTGTCAAAAATCAGTCGTGGCCTAGTGGAATCCAGCAGAGTTGATTCCCTTCTGCCTAACTCTGCCTATCAAGACGTCACACAGTTGTCTCATTCCGGTTACGAATGTTCTTTATTTCTGTTCAATAAGAGAAGTTAGATCCACTATCCAAACTATTTAGGCGTGTCGTTTATAGAGTGCACACGATGTTTTCGTGCATATCTCCTCCAGTTACTTGGAAGCAAGGTCTATTAGTATATATGGTAAATAAAGTCCATCTTATATCTATGATGTTTTGGATAAAACTAGCCATTGGTTGGTTCCATCTGTCTGTATAATTTGGAAGCTCCTCTACTGCTGTTGTAACTTGGCAAAAGAAAAATTCTAGTTTTCCCCCATTCATGAATTCTTTGGAATTTTAATCTTTTCTGACCTTCAAACCTCTATTTTTATTTTAAGAAAAAGTTGATTATATTATGATGATTGTGTTATTTAAACACATGGGATTTGAGATATGTATGTGACATTATAGTTATATCTGGATCTCTTACGTTTTGGAACAAATGGGATTTGAGTTATGTATGTAACCCATATTTTATAAGTACTCTGCAAAAACAATGAGACTAGTATTTGATATCTCATTTTAATGTTTCAAACATCATTTCTCAATTCAGTAATATTGCAATACTATTTGAGATATGTATTTTTAATTTTATATATATAGTATTTCGGGCCTAAATTTCTAAGACAATCTCTTAATATACCCTATATATCTAAAAAAAAACACTTTATGCAATTTTTAAAAAGTCTTTCAGTTTTCGGAGATGTATTTCTGGACGTATTTTATTTTTGTTTAACTTTAATTTGTTTTGGAGATTCATCTTTGTAAAGTGTTCAGTGATGTAACTTCGTAATTTTTGCAGATAACATACGTAGATTATTTTGTGAGTGATTCCCCTATCAAATAGTTAGAAGGCTGAATGATTCTCATATCAAATAATTAGAAGGTATTTTAAGATTCGACTATAATAACGAAATGAATAAAACGACATATATAAAGTTATAAATCAAGATTACACAAATCCAATCCAAAAATTACACCGAAGTCCATAAACAAAATACAACCCAATATGTATAAGAGTACAAATACAATAATCTACTGTGTGTGACAGACTATGAGTCGGCCTTTTCCTCGTCTCCCCACGTTACTACTATGCTGCCTCCTGTACTGCAGAGCCTCCTGAACCTCCGCCATCATGGCATCTACACACCCCTCGCCTTAGAGCCATTCAAAAATAATCCTCCATCAATATTCGTCTCTTCAATCTGTATGATACGACGACACCTAGGAAAGACATCATGAGCATGAACTGTCTTAGCATGTTCCTCCTCTAGTATCTCCTGATGAGCTGGCCTATGTGGATCTCTTGGAGCATCATGTACCATATAAAGATATGAGATCTGGAAGAACCATCAGATGTAACCGTCTACATAGCTCCATTCGTTTGATGCTATGGTTTTTCGTGTCTCATCCGGTACCAGATGATTAACATAATCATCAAACATAGCATACATATCTCTATGTTTCACAGTGGGAGGAACAGACAAAACATGATCTATGTGAATGTACTGCATGTAGCCGAACTGGTGCATGACGCGCTTAGGAAGATGAGGAGTCGTCAGACGTGACTCGCAAGTCATCCATCCCGAGTATAAGACAATGTCATTAAAAGGAGTTATCTCATGGTGATTGATGTATGTATGGAAGTGTATATCCTCAAATACCAAGCGATCAATATACACTCTGAACGACATTGTCGCCTGGTTCCCTCTGAGCAGAGCGAATGCAGAAGCACGTGACTTATCCTCAGTATAAGTCGGCTCAAGTGACCAACCGAAGATGCGTGGGAAGTGTTGTAGGATTCAAGCCTGCAAACAAGAATCATTAGTTAGTAACAGTGTTATAATAATTAATAAAATGACACACAAGCAATAGAAGACCAAGAAATATTACCGTCAAAAGTGTGATACTTCATGTCACTTGCATCGTGTTCCTCGTATAACCTTAAGATAACTTAGAGTATAAGTAGACCAAACAAGCGTCTCCCAGTTGTACTCATGGATCTGCTCAAAGTCCTCAAAGTATTGTAGGTACATTACATTCACATAAGTGGCACTCTTATCCATAAAAATGACAGTGCCAACCAAATACAATAGGTATGCTCTCATAGCATACCCTCTGTGTCGCCCTACCAGCTTGCTATCACCAATAGCTTGTCATGATCTCTCTATCTCATCAATAAACACCTTATGCAAATAGCTAAACCTAGCATGAGCCCCACGAGTGCGGTCAAGCTCCTCAATGGCACTCTCTGGGTCAACTCCTAAGTATTATACTGTAACATTCCATTTAAATATTTGGTCATTGTTTGTTGATTTAAAATTATTTTGGCATAGCTAAGGGTATATAGGCATGGCTAAGGGTATCATAGGACTTAGTTCTAATTAAATAATTAGGATAAAATTTAATATATGGTATAATAATAATATTGGTGAATGATGAAATATACTATTATTATTAATAAAAATACTATTGTTAGATATATGGTATAGTTACCACTAATAATATTATTATTAGTTATAATTATTATAAATATTATTGTGATTCCAATTATTATTATTATTATTATTGATTATTATTAGATAATAATAAAACATAAATTGAGAGAGTGGTAGAAGGGATTGGGGGAAAGCTGCTGTCACGTAGAAACAAAAAAGAGAAGAGAAGAGAAGGAAAAGTTAGGGCAAGAGAGAATTCCACTATTGTTGAAGGATCAAAGCTCAAAACTAAGGTAACGGGGGAGAATAGGTTCTTTAAAAGGTGATTATAACATGAAAGGGTAATGAGGGTTCCTTTCCCTCTCTAGGTTTTGTGTGTGATCAATTTATGTTCTTCTTTTGTTAATTGATGTTGTCTCTTTGTGACTCTATGTAGAATTGTGAATTCATTGATGCCAATGATGTGATTGTTGTTGTGGTGTTGTTATATGAAACCCCAATCTAGAAAATATGGATTTATGAAAATGATGAAAAGTGAGGATTTGGTGTAGAAATATGATATAGAATGATAGATTAATGATATTGGTTAAGGCTATCATGTGAAAAAACACTATTTTGAACCCAAATTAGGAGGCTGAAAATGCTCAAAATGAGTGAAAATTGAACTTATGTGAAAAAAGGATTTCTGGTGTTGCAGACTGCCCATATGTGTAAGCCAGGGGGCATTACGCGTATGAGGGGACTTCCCAAGAGAATTACGTGTACGTTATGCGCCCTGTCCTGTGGCTAGCATGCTCCTCTGGTGTTACACGTAGGATACGCGTAAGGGAATAAGGCATTACGCGTATGGAATTTCTTGAGAAGATTTTGAGGGAAAACCCCCCTCTGGTCATACGCGTAAGGCAGAAGGCATTACGCGTATGGAGACTGGGAATTTTGGCCCTACGCGTAACTTACACAGGGGTTGGGGCGAGGCATTAAGGCATTACGTGTATGAGCCGACATGTGTGGAAATTTTCCAGTTTTCACGTTTTCTTTCCTGATTTCGTGTGTAGTGTAGTTTCTTTGGTCTGTATGACTAGTATGACTTAGGCAGATATATGGAGGCTAGTAATAATGGAAATTGGGTTAAAACATGGAACTTTGTGTGAGTTTGTATGTTTTGTGAAGGTGTATGGATGAATTGCATAATGTATTGCATGATAATGTTGATGTCGTTGGCCTATATTGGCGTAATGTTGGGAGCTCATGTCTGTGTTTGCATATTTATGTTGTTGCATTTTTGTGTTGCATGTATGCATTGGTGAGGGCTTATTCCCTATTGTTGGCCTGCAATGACTTTATGTCGAGGGCTTATGCCCTGTTGTTATCCTATCTGGCATTACATTGAGGGCTTATGCCTTGTTGGTACCACATGCATTGAGTCGATGTTGGTCTCATTGCATTGTGTTTTTGTTGATTTCATGTTGTGTAATGTAGATGATGTTTGTGATGTAAAGTAGTAAGTGATATGTGAATTATGTGAATGGTGTGGATTACTACTCCTTAGCATGTGATATTCACCGCATATTTATTGAATGTATTTCTCACCCCTTTTCTGTTGTTGTGTTTGTGCTCCTCGGGGAGTACAGATAATTAGGTACCTGATTAGTGCTTAGAGTGAGTATTGCTTGATCGAGTCTTAAGAGTCACTCTGATACGTAACACGGGATTTGAGAACTTGCCATGTTTTCGCATTTTTTTATTCGTTACGTATCTTAGTTTCTTACTTATGTTGAATCACACATTTTGTTTTTATTATTGTTGAGGCCTTAGTTCCATAAAATTGAATTAATTTGATTGTTCCACTGTTAATTTGATTTTATTGAGAAATGAAGTAATAAACTGACTTGAGACTTTATGAATTTTTGAAAGTTGTGACATCCTACTTGTGTACTCTGATATTTTTCGTAGATTATAGAATAAATAATTATGTGGGGAAAGTGGGGTGTTACAATTGGTATCGGAGCCTGGTCGGTTCGTCTAGCCAGGTTGTTGAGTCAATAGTATAGTGTGATGGTTGAATACTATCGATGTGTTTCCTCTAACAATTATTTTATGTTATAGTGTGAAATAGAGAAATGGCTGGAAGAAATGATGCTGCTCTTGCTGCTGCCTTGCAGGCTATGGCTTAGGCTGTGCAACATCAGCCTAATGTTGGTGGGAATGATGGATCCCATATTTTGGGAACATTCCAGAGGAACTATCCGCCTAGATTCAAGGGTAGGTATGATCCTGATGGGGTGCAGACTTGGCTCAAGGAGATCGAAAGGATCTTTTGGGCTATGGACTGTTATGAGGCACAAAAGGTGAGATTCGATACACATATGCTGGAAGGAGAGGCTGCTGACAGGTGGGTTAACACTCGTTAGAAGCTGGATGGTGAAGGTGAAGAGATTACTTGGGTTGCGTTTAGCAGAGAGTTTTTGAGGAAGTAATTTTCTGAAGATGTCCGCAGGAAGAAAGAAATTGAATTTTTGGAATTGAAATAGAGAGATTTGTCGGTGACTGAATATGCTACTCGTGGAGCTGGCAAAGTTCCACCTTCGCTACAGTGAGGCGACTGCTGAATTCTCAAAGTGCATTAAGTTTGAAAATGGTCTGCATCCAGAAATCAAGTGGGCTATTGGATATCAGCTGATTTGAAAATTTCCAAATTTGGTGAATAACTGCAGGATTTATGAGGAGGATAGTAAGGCTCACTACAAGATCATAAATGATAGGCGAAGAAAGAAATAACAAAACAGTGGGAAGCCTTATAATACTCCAGCTAACAAAGGCAACAAAGTGTTGTTGATGGTAAGA